TCAACTATCAACCGTCACATTTATGATTTACAAAACATAGTCTGAAATGATAGTCTTTCTAGCATCACTCTTTTAGAGGAAAACTATTAAAGTGGAGTAGGTCAATTTTATTCGGCAAAAAACAAACTTTTGTCAAGGAGGTAAGAAAACACCATTTTATCCGTCTCTTTTGTATGTCGGTGCTCTTTGGTGAAGAAATTCTGGTTTGCTAGCAAAGAATTGTAAAAATGTTTATTTGTACATGTTTCTCCTTTCACGGGGATGGAGAGTGGATTACTTTGCAAAAAGGGTGAACTTCCTAAAACTCAGAATCTAAATCGAGATATCTTGATGATTTGGGTAGTCAATTTTGTCATATATTCTGCTCCTCCAAGTTTTATATTCAACATCTTAGCTTCATGTCTTCCTACTTCTAGATGCATAAGGTATTGTATCCCATCGAATGTGAATAATTTTAGGTAAATATTTACCAAATCCAAATCCAACTCCATTCATGATCATTGGTCACCAAAGCCATTTAAACAATATAGGAAAAACACTTTTAGTTAAAATGCTTTTTTTAACTAATTTTTAATAAAAAATTAAGTGAATCCTAGAAAAGAACTTGAAGTGAAGCACATATATAGTGCTTCTTATAAAAAGCACTTAAAATGCTTCTGAAACCCATAATCAATTTTTAAAACACTTACAAACAAGTTCATATATATATATATATATATATATATATATATTATTCCAATATATATTCATATCAAAATCCCGGCATATGGGTTAAGAAACTTACCATGTCCATATAGTTCAAACATATTATTCTCGGTGTTCCTTTCATTCGATCTTAAAAGCTTCCTTGATTCTTTAGGATCATTGATTACAAAAAGTGGAAGTATATATCCAAATTCAACCAATTACTTATTATCAACCTAGGATATATATGCATGCATGGCCACCGATCTTCACATGAAAATTTGTAGCTACCTTTTTCCTGAGAAATATACCAATTCAATCTATAGGAATTAATTCCGATAAAAAATCTAAATTGATTAATATTTCATTAACTTTTTAATATATACCAATTCAATCTTGATCTACATCATCATTCAATATTTATTTATTTTTTTCTTTTACATCATCCATTCAAGAATAGTTATATAAAAATTAAGGTTCTTCATCAGCTTTCTAGAACGATAAAAAAAAAAAGATTGTGAAAGCTTTTAATTAAAATTTTATTTTGATGTAGATCTTTTTTTATCATCATTTCCGATATTGTAGAGTTTGCTTCTGAATTTAATGGGTGTACATTTGAGTATGTCCCTCGTACTTGTAATGGTGTGGTTCACTGCCTAGCTAAGTTAAGTTTATCCCATATTGATCCTATAATATGGTTTGAGAAGTCTCCGGATGTCATAAAGGGTGCCCTTGACCATGATATGTACTCTCTTTGAGTTTATGCTATAAAACTATAATATTCATTCAAAAAAAAAAGGAAGAATAAATAAGTGTAAACTCGTCATTTACCACCTTCGAAACTTATAAAAACCTGTAATTTGAAAGTAAAGAGAAGTTTTAAATTATAAGTAATGCTAAAGAGACTAAATTTTGTAAACTAAATAATATGGAAGTTGATGATTGAATTATTACTTAAACGTACTTATTTTCTATTGGTGACACATTATTTAATTTACAAATTTAATTTTCCTAATATTACTCTTAAATTATTATATTAACATTGAATATTATTGGCTAAACTTTTATCTCACTCCTTCTTACCCATAAAAAGAAGATAAAAATATAAACATTAACTTTTAGATCGTACGGAACGGGAGTTGGGGTTGGCGGTTGTTGAAGTTTGTACTTGCATTGTGCAGAATTCATACCGGCCACTAATGCTCCAAAATAGTGCATCCAATCATGTAAGATAGTATCCTCCCCGATCCTTTTTGTGAAGATTCCAAAAATTCTTTAATCAAGTTCGTTCATTGTATATTATGCAGTCGATTTTCGTCAGGTACTGTTTGTGTTTAATTTTGAATAATATAATTTAAAATGATTTTTTACCGTACAATGCACGATGAAAGGACATAATTAAAAGATCATCGTGATTCTCACAAAGAGAATCCGGCAAGAATCATATCTCCAATCATGCATCTAGTTATTAGCGTATGTTTCAAGATATTTTTCTTCTCAATATCTCAAATTTAAATATTTTTATAAAAAAAAAATCATCAAACACACAATGTTTGAGTGAGAGTCCACAAATAAAAACTCAAAATGAACTCCAACACCACAAAAACTATAATACTAAGCTATCGCTCATATTTATCATCATTACACGAGTGAAGAGTGAACTTAAAATTTTTGACAAAAAATTATGATATTCATTAATAGAACAAGAATACGTACAAGATGATAGATACCGTTAAGAAAAGAGAAAAAAAGGAAAAAGCCATTGCCGAAATTTAGAAGCAAAAAATAACTACTAATTTATAATAAAAATACGTACAAGAAAATAGATACGCACTAGAAGATTGATCCCCAGACTCTAAACCAACACCAAATTAATAATTTAGAAGAGGTTTACGCACTAGAAGGTTGATACCCACACTCTAAACCAACACCTAATTAATAATTTAGAAGAGAAATCTCGGAACATTTCAAAGCAAACAAAACGGTAGGAAGCTAAAGGTGAAAGGGTGTCAATATCAGTGTGTTCGTGTAACCGAAAATAAAATATGTTGAAATCAATGTGTTATGGTATTTTGTCATTCTCTCGAGATGAAGCCTAAAACATTATTCTTGAATTTTCTCTCCTTTTAAGAAGATATATTTTTCATGCAATTGGAAAATAAAATACAAAATATGTCCAAATCAATATGTTATGGTATTTTGTCATTCTCTCGAGAAGATGCCTAAAACATTATTCCTGAATTTTCTCTTCTTCTAAGGGGATAAATTTTTCAATGTAATCAAAACACGGATGGTACATCAAATATTTTTATTTAAATAATAATTTTTTTTAAGTTATTAATTTTTTAACGCACATATTTCAATTTGTATAATCACACATAATATATTACTCCATGTTTCAGTTACATTAAAAATTCTCTCTTTTTTAAGTGGCTCTTTTTGGGACAGGTGGCAGAAAGCTTTGAGTTGCATGACTGTTTTTGTCTTCCCTTCCCACTTCTCACCCACATATTTGATCCAATTTATTTATTTCAGCTTCCCTCAAGTGAGTGGCCAGTGGTGTGTCAAAGAGGATAGCCAAACCTAATACCATGTATTTTTAAAAGAAAAACCTCTTAAAGAAAAGTAGAGTCGGACCAACGTATGTGAATTCTATTGTATTAGAATGATGAAATAAATAATGATATAATTATATCATCTAAGTAGCAAATTTTCTTTAAAAAGCACAAACGGAAACAATTTTATTAGGGTTTTTTTATTAACACCTTACGATCCTATGAATACACTCCATTTTTTTTAATTCTTGTTGAACTACCTCGTTTACCCTTATTTAAATTTGAAAAAAAAAATAAAAAACAAGCAAACCCAGCACCCACAAAATGCATCACATTTTCCCTTTGCAACAACCAAACAACATGCACCACCATTAACGCAATTCCATTAATCTCAATAATTCAATTGTTACAAGAAGATGGTCTTGATAACTTTATTTACCCAAACATATGCCGACATTATATTATAGAAGCATTTTCCATATGCTTTCTTGCCCATAGCCATCAAGTAGACATCCTTGAGTATGACGTTTGAAATTGCAGTTCTACAAAATGCTAAATGCCTCGCAAAACGACAGGGAGGGAAGGGGGAGGGGAAGGTGAGGGAATGGAGTGCTTAGCATGGGTAGACGAAGTACCGGAGGGTGAGCGAGATGCCAGGTAGGTGAAATGTTATTGTTGTTTTGAACAGGTGGGGTGGCTTCAGTAGAAGTAGGGTTAAAATTGGAATTTAGAAAAACAATTTTAATTGTGAAGTGTATTTATAAGATTGTGGGGTGCCAATAAAACAACAATTTTATTATTAATATTGGCAATTACTCACATCTTATAATCGGTTGAATAGTTGGTAGAAGTTATTGTACACGTGAGGAGAAAGTGGGGTTTAGACGACTATAAATTAAGTTTTGCTTTTTACATAAAGATCCTTGGTAATTAAATTTTTTATTCAGTAGAGTAAGGGTAGAATAGGAATATAATGGTATTATTTGTTATATTTTTATATACAAGTAATATTGAGTGGACTTAGATAGAAGCTCAAACGGAATAGTAAATATTTTTAACAACTTAAATCCTCGGATTCAGTCAGTGTTATCTACCATTAAAAAAATTAAGGATATGTTTGGTATCCTATTTGAAATTTTTTATCATTTCTCAAAATATTTCTTGAAAATAAATTTTTTAAGACTGAAAAACTTGATTGTTTACGATTTAAAATTTTTAAATCTTACGACTTAAACTAGACAAAGAGATCTAAAAAGAAGGGATCGCAGGAGAGGGAGAAAGAGGAGAGAAAATGAAAGAAAGTAAGAGATAATTGAAGGAAAGAGAAAGAAGAGAGATGATCAGATGAGATAAAGAAGAAGATGAGTGAGAGAAACAACTAAGAGAATGAAGATAGCGGATTGGAGGAAAGACGAAAAAGGTGAAGAAAAAAAAAGAGAGAAAGAAGAAAAGAGAGAGAGAGTGACGGAGGGAGACAAAAAAAAATGAGTGAGTTTAATTTTAAAAATTCTAAAAACTCTTTTTTTTTTTATATTTTTAGATAATAGAATATATTTTTTAGTTATTCTTGAGTTCAGTTTTTTAAAATAGTGTTACCAAACAAGTTTTTAAAGCCTAAAACTTGAAAATTATTTTTGAATTTAAAAAGTTGGATTCAAATAGAGTATCAAACGTGCTCTAAAATTTTTATCATATTTTCCACTCTCTCTCTCTCAACTCATCATGTAGTTTGTATATATATTCCATTGCTGGAAGAGAGTTAATTGTTTCTAGTCACCACACACTGTCTCACTCACGCCAAAATCCTTTCACTTCAGAGTTCGTTTACGAAAATCCCTTCTAATTCTCTCTCACTTGCCATTTATTCCCTCAGAAGTCAGTAGCTGCTGTTCTGAACACATTGGAGTCTCGTTCTCCTTCTGCCTTTCTGCCATTTTTATACAGAAAACTTGCCCCCTCCCAGGTGATGTAGCTGCATGCTTGCACATCCCAAAAGGCAAAGGGTTTTTGTTAAATAATGTAATCTCGAGTAAAGTTTTCTTCTTTGTTATTTTCTCTATTTGGTCACTGCCCATCTGCTCAAAAGGGTTCTAAGTTACCTGTAATATCAATCATGGGTTCTCGCTAATCTGGCTGCATAGAATTCCTTTGTCCAGTTTTTTTCCAAATTTCTAGTCTTTTCTTTTGTTCTATCAGCAAAAAGAAGCATTTTCTTGTGTTCTGTGAGTGCACATTTGCTTAAAATTGTTCTAAACCATTCCAAATGCTGTTTGTGATGATGGGTTTTCGCTAATTTGCTTGTTCTTGCTGTGAAACCCTCAAAGTGTGGAACTTGATTGCGATTTTCGCCGGTTAAAGCTCGTAAATTTGTACCAAATATCTGGTGTTTTAGCATTTTATTCACCTGGTAACAATTAGGAGCATTTTCTGATACTATAAGGGAGGGGTAGTGGATCCAAGCTTTGTCCAAGTTTACTGCTAGTAGTGTGATTTGAGCATATGGGAAGTGCTTGGTCATTTCATTAATTTTCGAGCTTCCTGATTGATTTACAATGAATTTGATTCGCTAAACCTTGGCTCGCACAAGATATGGAATCTACGTAGCTGAATTTGCTAACTGATTCTTTTGTTCTTCAGGGAAATATCTGCCACATTCTTGATTGATTCCTTGAAATGTAAATTTCACACTTCCTGTATCAGTTCATTCATATATGGACCTCATTAAGGGTCTATCATACTTCAAAAATTCGATGACTCAACACTTTTCTATCCCGCTTGTTTTTCACCTTCAAAACTCTATGATGGTCAAGAAATCTTTCTCTGTCTGCCCGTAATATCGTACGTATATATTTATATCCTAATGCAACCTTAGAAACCATATACGCCTCTCGAGTCCCTTGCAATTTGGATCTGAACTTTAACGACCTGGTTACTTGTCACTCAAACAAGAACTCAAAAAGTTTCTGTTTTCTTGTTTTCAAAGTATTGGAGTTATTATGGAAGAAACATTTGTTCCCTTTCGCGGGATAAAGAATGACCTCAAGGGGAGACTTCTGTGCTACAAACAGGATTGGACTGGTGGTTTACGCGCCGGAATCAGGTTCGTGAATGTATTATTTCTCATTTTTTTTATCACAAAAAGAGGATACTTTCATGTTTCTAATGAAAATCATCTGATAAGCATCACAGCTTAGGAAGCTTTTTGTCCAAACAATACTTCATATTGGCACTTCTGCACTGTACCTTACTCAAGTTATCGTGATCGTTATCTTTTTTTTTTTTTGTGCAGGATCTTGGCGCCAACAACATACATATTCTTTGCTTCAGCAATTCCTGTTATCTCATTTGGGGAACAGCTCGAAAGAAATACAAGTCAAACAATACCTTTTTTTATTTTTCTTTTGATTGTCATGTCCTCTCAGAGTTTCTCTTTTGGAGGTAATTTTCTGAAAAGTGCTGTATTTATGTATATTTACAGATGGAAGCTTGACTGCAGTACAGACTCTTGCATCCACATCACTTTGTGGCATAATCCACTCGATTGTTGGAGGCCAGCCCCTGCTTATACTAGGGGTGGCTGAGCCAACGGTATTGATGTATACATTTATGTTCAACTTTGCCAAGGACCGGAAGGATTTGGGGCAGAAACTCTTCTTAGCCTGGACTGGATGGTATGTATCTATCTAGAACACTTTGGAAATCTTAAAATTGCAAAGCAATTGATTTTCTGATGAAACTGAACATTGTTTCCCCATGGTATGGGTATCTAGGGTATGTATGTGGACAGCCCTTTTGCTCTTCTTGCTGGCGGTTCTGGGTGCATGCTCTATTATCAATAGGTTTACGCGTGTTGCTGGTGAATTGTTTGGTCTGCTAATTGCAATGCTTTTTATGCAGCAGGCCATAAAGGTGGGTCTTCTTTATGATCCTTCACTATTAGTTTATCAATTTTTATTTGGTATACGAGAATTTTAAACCTTTTTAGATTTAATTGTACATGAATTCCAAAAGGATATCTCAATTCATTAATTTCTGGGGTGGTGTTATTTTCAGGAACAAAAGAATTATATTTCAAACATCTCTGTACTTCTATGCTCTAGAACTATTCGCTTCATAATGAATCCAACTTATGAAACCATTCTACAGGGACTCGTGGAGGAATTTGGCATACCCCAGAGAGAAAATCCCAATCAGACTGCACTGCAACCTTCTTGGCGGTTTGGCAATGGAATGTTTGCGCTAGTTCTGTCATTTGGCCTTCTTTTAACTGCATTGAGAAGCCGTAAAGCTAGATCCTGGCGTTATGGCACAGGTATGTGGAATTTACTTTTGAGCCCTAGTAAGAAGTTGAAAGATCAAATCATATTCATTTATAATGCAACCCTATTTCTCTGGTGAAAAGTTTAATTGAATCTCTGAGAGTGGTCAGTTTTGTACGTCAACCATGTCAACTATATACCTTAGAAACATTCCTGTCTGACAAATGTTATAGGTTGGCTACGGGGATTAATTGCGGATTATGGAGTTCCATTTATGGTGCTTGTTTGGACTGCGGCCTCTTACATACCAGTTAATGATGTCCCTAGAGGAATCCCAAGACGACTGTTCAGTCCAAACCCATGGTCTCCTGGTGCATACTCAAATTGGACAGTTATCAAGGTGAAATTGTAGAGATTGTTTCCCAAGCACTTTGTAAAACATTTCCATTACATCTAAGCCCATCTTACAGAGCCAAATTTGTGCTTTCTTTCCTTTAAATCCCAGCTACGAACTCATGCTGTTTAATTGTGCAGGAGATGATGAATGTACCTCCATTATATATAGTTGGAGCATTTATACCAGCAACTATGATCGCTGTGCTCTACTACTTTGATCACAGTGTTGCATCTCAACTTGCCCAACAGAAAGAATTTAATCTGAAGAAACCGGCTTCATATCATTATGACCTTCTCCTTCTGGGTTTTCTGGTAAGCTGCTTCCAGACCAGCTAAATTGAGACAGAGATTTTACCTACTCGTATATCTTGAAGTTCTCCTTTAATTCTGATTGTTCACTTCCAGGTCATGTTATGTGGGCTTATTGGCATTCCCCCTTCCAATGGAGTAATCCCACAATCTCCTATGCATACAAAAAGCTTAGCTACTCTAAAACATCAGGTACTATAGTTTTCTGTGTAGTGAGAGTTAGCTTGTCTGTTAAATAGCGGAACTGTTCACTCTCAAGATTTTGATAAGCCTACGAGCTTGTGTGAAACTAGTGTCTTTTGTAGGCATTTGACGCGTCAATATATGGATATTAGGACTCTTGATAATTGTTTCTCACGCTGCTACGATTGATTCTCACTGACAGGACTTCTCTCAGTCATTGTTCTGCTTCCCCTTAGAATGTTTGTTTCTGCAATAGCGAATACTTTATTGTGATTTTAATATGTAAATTAATAGAGTGGATCTGTTCTTTTCTTTGGAATAGCTTTTGCGGAATAAGCTTGCATCAACAGCTCGAAGTAGTATACGCAAAAATTCAAGTTTGAGTGAATTATACCAGAGCATGAAAGATGCATACAACGGAATGCAGACTCCACTAGTCTACCAACTTCCATCTGCTTTGGTAAATCTATCTACTACATTATTCATGATTGATAGAAAAGTTTATATCTTTTACCCTTCTGCTGTAAAATTTGTGATTCGAATAGGGACTAAAAGAGCTGAAAGAATCCACACTCCAATTGGCCTCTAGTGCTGGCTACATCGATGCCCCTGTTGATGAGACTGTTTTTGATGTGGATAAGGATATTGACGATCTTCTGCCCATTGAAGTAAAAGAGCAACGTCTCAGCAATCTGCTTCAATCATTGATGGCTGGTTGTTGTGTAGGTGCTATGCCTGTTTTGAAAAAAATCCCAACATCAGTTCTTTGGGGTTATTTTGCTTTCATGGCGATTGAAAGCTTGCCTGGAAATCAATTTTGGGAGAGAATATTGTTTCTTTTCACTGCTCCAAGTCGAAGATACAAGTAAGTTGGTGCTTTCCCTTGTAATGTACTAACGATTCTTTCACTAAATAATCTTCCGCATATTGGATATTGTATATTATACCACATGGCTTGCTTCTGAATTTCTACATACGTCTGCACCTGAACATGTTTTAGAATCTTCAAATCTTAAAGTTTAACTTCCTCAGACTTAAATGGTACCATTTTTCTTAATCTAGATCATGACTCGTATTATCTTTTAAAAAATCGTCAAATGGTAACCATCATCCATCTTGCTAGGGTGCTGGAGAAGAATCATGGAACCTTTCTTGAGACAGTGCCTTTCAAAACAATTGTGACCTTCACATTGTTCCAGACGGCTTACTTGCTTATGTGTTTTGGCTTAACATGGATCCCGATTGCTGGGGTGCTATTCCCATTGTTGATCATGCTTCTAGTCCCAGTGCGGCAGTATTTTCTCCCTAAGTTTTTCAAAGGTGCTCACCTTCAAGACCTGGATGCTGCAGAATATGAGGAAGCCCCTTCCATCACTTTCAACCTGCCCCTTGAAGTGAGTTATCTCAATCCTTTCATTCGGTTTGTATGTGAAAAAATTGTAAACGTCTTGAGTTCTATAGCATGAAAAGAAACCTGAGTTGGGCATTGAGTTCGACCAGAAGGGGTATAAATCTGAAATTTGGATCAGATTAAAACATATGCTATTCAGACTCTGTCCTACTAAAGTGCTTCTAGGAAGCCTTTATTAGCTTATCTTTTAGAAATTCTTGTACCGATGCTGATGCTTTCTATACATGACAGGATCTGGATCTTCAATCAAGAACCACTAACATAGACGGTGGGGAGATGCTTGATGAAATTATCACAAGAAGCCGCGGTGAGATCCGCCACACTCATAGTTCAAAAACATCAAGTTTGAACCCTACTCCGCTAGAAGGTAGCCCAAGGATGTCACAGATAGTGCACTGCCCCCGTTTAAATGAACTGAGAGGAGAAAGAAGCCCCCGACTGAGTGCACAGGGACTTGAAACAACACAGGCTTCCAGCCCTGGGCCATCTACCCTCGGACAAATCTCTCGTGGTTCTTCAAGCTAAAAATTGCAACTCTGGTGAGATTATTCTTGGCAATGATCTCGAGAGGTTATGAACTAAGTTTGTGTGTAACGAAGTGTCATCTTTGTAGGTGTGTTTCTAACTTTTTATGATTACGATAATGCAAGAGCTGTAATTATACACGTAATTTTCTCATTCAAACTAAATGCAAACTACGCAGCCTACAAAATCCCTGATTCAATCTTAGATCATTTACAGCTTTAATTTGTTTATTTCCACTAGCAGCATGTTCTTTTAACCATTCGGTTTTCAGTTTTCCAAAGTTTTCGAAAAAATCTGAGTGAATAACACTGAATCCATTGTATTCACCAAACCTTACCACAAAAATCTGAGTGAAGAACACTGAATCCATCTGTTTGAATACTCGAGGCTTAGTAGGATATTTGTACTTGAAACACTCATTTGGTCTCTACGATTGAACTGAATATTCTTGGAATTCCCCTCCATTCTTATCATGCATGCCACTATGATTTTGCAACTCGTGTCTCCCACTCTAAAACTTTGATTGATATTTGATAGCGATTAGAAACAGACTGCATAAATACTCAACAGATGACAAGGCTGATCATCTAGGATTTGCATTAGATGGTGGGATATTACATGCTTACTCTCCACTACAAAATCTGCTTTGGTTTGGAGTATCTCCCAAGTGGCCTTTTTGTTTTACAAGCTGGCCTTCCACTCAGCTTTATGGTACTGGCTAAGATTGTTAACCCACTCTTAGGGACCCAGCAACCAAGTAACCCAGCACTAATACCTAACTAAAGTTTCCCATAAAGATGCCACCCTTGTCTGAGGGTCACTTTCTAGCCACCACTCAAAGCTAATGTAAAACTAGTGACACTTTCTCTGTATAAGCACCTGATTCAAATATAGGTCCGCTGAACTGGAATTAGATTGTGGGGACAAAGGTACTCGAAAGAAATGAGTGTCTTTAATCTTTATGATAAAAGTAGTCGACCATCGATATGCAGAACATTGAACGTCACTTGGGAATATCCGACCATAGAACACTCCACTTGCTGAGAAAGCTAATGAAGTGATATCGTTTGGAGAGAGAATCAAAGACCCTTCGCCGACGGACTTGGGATAAATAACCAATCGAAAAAGGAGAACTTGTTGTTTAACCAAACTGTCAAGACTCCTAGGCCGAGTTGATTCTATGACTCCAGTGATATTTAACCAAATTGTCACCTTCGCAGATTATCTCTGCAAAATTCTGTTTAACTAAATTGTAATCGTCCGTCGGCTGCCAACTCCAAACCTGTTTAACCAAACTGACTTTGTGCTAACTTGTTAAGAGTTGAGACAGTTTGCATAGAGTGATAATTTGCGTGTTGAGTTAAAAATCCTCTCTTGTTGCATAGTGTCTTGTATTTGTTGGACCAACGCACTTGGACGTGTCGTAGAGTCTACCCGTGAACACCAAATCATCTTTTGATGATAACAAAATCATCTGCCATCAAGTAATAATGGTGACCAAATCATCTTTTATGGTCAGTTGATAATACGAATAAAATCCCAAATGGATAATGGTAAACCAAATGGATGATGTAGCCAAATGATAATGGTGCCCAAATCACATCACAAATGCCATATATCCTGCCAAAACCAAAAATAGGTGGTGGTCAATCTTTTATCATTGGCACGTGCATGAGAGACGAACAAGGCTAAACATGATAAATCAAAATGGACGTAGTTATCATTATCTTAACCACTAAGGATGCGTTTGTTGCACCAGACTGTTTTGAACTAGACTAGCTGCAGAGACTAAGCTGGATTGGATTGACTTAGACTAAGCAGGATAAAAATAGTGAAGTGTTTGATGCAGTGCTAGACTAAATCTCGGACTAAAATATTTTAGTCCCAATATTTTATTTTTTCCATTTTGCAATGGAACTAGACTTTTAAATTTGCTAGTATCCTACAAAACTTTGCCATATTACCCTTACCCTCTCCCTCATTACAAAAAAACATCACCCACAACCTCTGCACATACCAAACTGATTCGAATTTCACCTCCAGTTTTTCTGAAGTAATTTGCAGTTTGTAAAACCCATGCCATTCCGATGAGATCCAACCGATTAATATCGATTCCGAGAATTTGATCGAGCCAAGCCGGGTCGACTCGGCGCAACCCATCTTCAAATCGTGGCTCATGAGGCTCTTTGACCAGCAACTCCCAAGCGTGCTTAGAATATCTTATGTGTAGGAGAAGCCGACTGCTACTTAGTCGCCGCCACAGCAGCAGAACTACAGTACCAGCAAGATGGAGCAACTGTCGTCGTCAAGGCCGAGTTCGAGCCGAGCTCGAATCTCGGCGGAGCAGAAATAGGAGAAAGTGAGGAGAGAGGAGGAGGGGAAGGGGGAATTGGCGAGGGGGAATTATGGTGGCTCTCGGCGTTTGTGAAAACATAGGAGCAGAGGAATACGTGAGGGAGTTAGTCCCCGCTAATCCCATGGTTCTTGACAGGTCTACTAGTGAGGGAGTTAGTCCCCGCGAGTCCCTTCTAATCTCATTAAACTTAGTCTCGGACTGTTAACAAACACGGGACTAGACTACTACATAGTCCAGTCCAAACCAGCGAAAGCTAGCGAGCTCAAACAAACACATCCTAAACCTAAATGGTTTATTATAAAGTTTTTGTTGATCAGATAGAATACGACCAATTTCGTTCATCAAACGGTCTGAAATATATATGGGCCGGCAATGCAGTAATTAGTTCTAAACATCTATAAACTCTTCATTCAATAATCTTGATTGCATAGGACCGATGGTGTAAAATTGGGCGACTTAAACACAATATTAATATCTTTTTGAACAAAACCAAGCTCCAAGTCATATATTTGAGTCTTTGATTAATTGAAAATGAATTTGTAACTCAATTAGTTAAGAGTGTTTATCACTGCATTCCAAAGTTGCTAATTTCATTCCCCACCATATCGTTGTTATCAAATAGTATTGTTTATGCATGGGTTTTTGTGGCTCCAATCCAAATTTTGTTGACGCTAAATGCACGATTTGGTCGCGAGGGCCATATGGGACTGATGCCTCAGACGGGGATTCAAAGTTGGGACCTCAGCCAACATAGAACAGATAATCAACTGGCTTTTGATCTAGTGATATTCTTTTTTTAATGATGGAAGATGTCACAAATTTGAATATTACCTTCCCATTAATCTATATTTACTATTAGAAAGTCAGAACCATGCTTTAAGATCACAAGGCTTCACAAAAAGAATAAAAATTATAAGTAAAGAATAAATGTAAAAGAGCGAATTACCACATGCGTCAGTGTGTGGTAGGGGTGGGCATTTTAATGGGTCTATCGACTAACCCACCTGATATGGGTTGGGTTGGGTTGGGTGGGGTTCTAAACATAAAATCTTTATTTTTGGATAAAAATCCGACTACTCATTCAATAGGTGGGTTGTGTTGGGTTGAAGTATTACTAAACTGATTGAAACCAGCCTACCTAGATGACAAGAATTCTTAAACATACACATATATTAAATAGATTTATACGTAAAATCTAGTAACTGTTAAATGCACTTGTTTATTAATGCTTGATTTTAATAGTGAAATTTATGTATGAGAAATGCTAAGGAGATTCTCTGTCACGTCATGTTTTTTGCACAATGCTTTATAATGTTGGCACATGAATTGACGTTAAACTGTGAGGTGAAAGAAAGTACATGGAGGGTCCCACTTTGAGAGAGTGCCCTTAGCATTTCTCTTTATGCATTAGTAACATGTAGTGACATAACAACATCAAATTGCTACTTAGTAGTACGATCTAGTGGTACCTCTTCACTTCTAAGTAAGATGTCTTAGGTTCGATTCTTGTCAAAGGTGTTTGAACCACATTATTGCTAGTTCATTGTGAGGTTAAGCCCACCCCTCCCCTTAGTGTAGAGAATGTCGTTAGTTAAAAAAAAAATTTCACATGATTTAGGCCTATTTGACGTAAGTATTGATTATTTGTCTCTCATACTCACAATAGGAATAAAAAAGAAACCAATCAAGCCCAATCCGTGGAACCAGCCCAACCCAACCCACCTAAGAATAATTTAGCTGGGTTGGGTTGCTAATTTTCTTGAGTGACAATTGATTTGAACAATTCTAACACGAACCTGGGTTGGCCAACGGGTTGAAATCTAACCTGACTAACCCACCCGACGCCTCACCCCTAACGTGTGGTAAGAGGCTAGCAGAGGGTAAAACACAAGGAAGAGATAGAGCGGTATTATAATTTTAATTGGTACATTAATTATTAATAAACAATTTAGGATGCATTCCCTTTGTTGGTGCACATGCACATTGCCTTTTTTTGGGTGCAAATGCACATTGTGTAAATCTTGTATGGAAAATCCAAATCCACAAAGAACAATCTTATTCTTTTTGGGTTTTTATCACAAATAGTCCCTGAAATTGACCAATCATATCAAGATAATCATTGAAATTGAAAATTGATCAATATAATACCTGAAAAAAAAATGTCACAAATCAAGGTAGTGCTTGAAAGTTGATAAGGGGGTATAGTTGACCAAACAAATGAGGAAAGGGTTAAAAACGTAAAATCGGATCTATAATTCAAAAAACGAAAGAATTAAAGGCCGCTGCTTTAACAGGAAGAATCAGACAAGACCATTGCAACGGTCGACTTTTCTCATTCCTCTCCATCTCCGAAGATCAGAAACCGAGAAAAGCAAGAGATATCTCCAACTCCAGATGACGTCGCGGAAGGTACGCTTTCTTCGACGAATCTATGCAAGAAATTATCGTTTCCATTTAATTCTTTATAAATCGAATTTATTCGAAGGATCGATTCAATTAGGGCTGCGTTTTGAAATTTGAATTTTACCGTTCGTGCAAATTTGAAGTCGTTTTGAAAAAAATTAGGGTTTACTTTTCACAAATTCAGTGTTCCTTTTCTGGAAGTTGCTTTGTTTTGAATGTTAGCTTGAATTGATTGGAATTGTCTCGATATTTCTAGAAATTGGATCATTGACAGACCGCTCTGGCAGTTGAAAAGCGAAGCAAAATGTTGGCTGCTAAGGTCAAATAAAACCCCTTAAGATTTTCGATTCCTGGCTAAAAATCTTTGATCTTTCTCTGGTGTTTCTTTTGGGTGAAAGCATTTCTGACATCTGCGAATCCTGCTTTGTTTTTCTTAATTTTCAGCCCAACTTTGGCATAGGACAGAATCGGGCAAGTGGTCCGGAACCGCAATTCTTGGTTCTTCTGCTGGTTTCAAGTTTGTGGTGGTTTATTAATTTCTGACATCGTTTTCCCATTTTTTAAGCAGTTAATGTCCCAAGTTTTTAAGGTTTATACAGAAAGTGACACTGCTAAAGCTTATGCCGGGAGCAGGTAATTGGGGTTTTAAACTTGTGTAATTTCATTTCGATTACCGAATGTTATGGTTTTAATCAATATCTAAGTTGTTTTAGAACATTAAGGTTTAGTTATTGGCAACCATCTAGATTGTAGGGGGAATTATATCTGTTTGCCCCTTTTAATTTCAGGACTTACGCAGCAGTTAACGAAGTATGGACTCAGGAGAACACAGCTGCTTTAATGGTAACTAATGACCTTATTCCTCTGCTTTTTCTGGAGGTGGATTGGGATGTAGTGTTATTTCTTTTGATAAGGAGTTTATGTTTTAATTATGTATTTACTGCTTTCATTCTGTAAATTGTTTTGGAAGTAGATTGGGTTTTCTGGTAAGCTGCTTCCGGACCAGCTAAATTGAGAGAGAGAATTGACCTACTCGTATATCTTGAAAGTTCTCCTTTAATTCTGATTATTTGCTTCCAGGTCATGTTATGTGGGCTTGTCGGCATCCCACTTCCAATGGAGTAATCCCACAATCTCCTATGCATACAAAAAGCTTAGCTACTCTAAAGCATCAGGTAGTATAGTTTTCTGCATAGTGAGAGTTAGTTTGTCTGTTAAATAGTGGAATTGTTTTCACTCTCAAGATTTTGATATGCATACGAGCTTGCGTGAAATTAGTGTCTTTTGTAGGCATTTGATGTGTCAATATATGGATATTAGGACTCTGGATACTTGTTTCTCACGCTGCTACTATTGATTCTCACTGAGAGGACATCTCTCAGTCATTCTTCTGCTTCCCTTTAGAATGCTTGTTTCTGCAATACTGGATACTTTATTGTGATTTTAATATGTAAATTAATTGAGTGGATCTGTTCTTTTCTTTGGAATAGCTTTTGCGGAATAAGCTTGCATCAACAGCTCGAAGTAGTATACGCAAAAATCAAGTTTGAGTGAATTATATCAGAGCATGAAAGTGCATACAACGGAATGCAGACTCCACTAGTCTACCAACTTCCATCTGCTTTGGTAAATCGAGGAGATCCTTCCTGGTAAGAATGTTAAATCCTAGCATGCTATTTCCTTGTAACTCTCCTATTTACATGATTGTGTAGTATGTTGTTTTTGTGAATTCAATACATATTTCTCTGTGTAATCTGAAAAAGAACAAAAGAGCCCTCATATGAGGGGTTCATATGTCAATTATCTCACTAGTCTTAAGATCTCTTAGTTATTTACTAGGGTAAATTACACAAAACTACCTCAACTATGAGTCGAATCACAATCTCATACCTCAACATTGCAATGACATACCTCAACTTATGAATTTGTTGCAATGTTAGACCTCTGTTAAATTTTCTGTCAATTTGGTTGTTAAATGATGACGTGGCAGGAACGGGGTCCCACTGCCACCCCTTCGCCAATTAGAATAAAAAATTAATTAATTATTAATTTTTTATTTAACAATTAAAAAAAAATTCTCTCTCTTATTTCTCCCCGCGGGTTGCACTATTGCAACTGGATTAGATTGCACAATACCTTCCGGCATTCGTGAAGTGTCAGATGCGCAGCCACTTATCTCACCCATGATGGAGAAGAGATAAACGGTTATTCTCCAACGTGACATCCATATGTTAGAACGATATCATCATCAACCTTCTTTATTCCTAGCCACTTAGAGGAATGTTGGGTTTACATTCATATTCCCCTGCAAACAGTGTTACTCCATCATGGCTAATTTCTCTAATCCTAGTTTCCTTGAGGTGGAAATCATCATCCCTATGGTCGAGCCCTTACCTGCTAACCACGCGTCTACTATGTCGACGACAGAATGCCTTGCTTCCACATTCCCTCCAGTTGCAGACATTACTTGACCCCATTTGAAGCATGCTCGAAAAGATCAACTTAAAGTTGGAGAACCTCTGATGCAACCACGCATCCTTTGCCCATGATGTTGAAAGGCAATTGTTGCAACTAGAATCTACCCAGATCGCGACACTGCAATAATCCTGGTCACTGGGATTAGGTATTTGAACACCTTGAGGGATCCAACTTTGATTTCATTTTCAACTTTTGTCTATGCCCTTACGACTGTGGAAACCCCCCTAAGGGCGAGGGACCCTGTGGAGGCACTCAGAGTCAAACTAAGGCCCTTCTTGTTAACCCAAGGCAGTTGAACTTTAACTTCAATAGCCCGACCAAGGCACTGTCAGAGGGCGACACACAGTCGTGCTACGAAGGCGATCCTCTCTCCAACACTTTAGCTTGGGAGGCACCACCAAACAAACACACAGTCGTATAGCTGATAGTGAGGTACTTCAAAGAGGACTCTAACCCTTTGAGCCATATAATGTCATACCAGAACGTTATGGCTTGGTACAATCATAGTGACTCGATATGCAAATGTTCCATGCCACGCTTGAAGGAAATTCCATGAAGTGGTATGCCGGACTCCCATCTGGATTGATCACTGACTTCAAAACCCTAAGTGACGAGTTCATAAAGGCTTTTTTTTTTGTATATAATTGGGTGAATGGTGAGACGGGACACCCAATTCCTGATTCGTCAAAAGGACGACGAAAGCCTCATAGACTATATAAAGTAAGGACGCGGAGGTAAACAGACTTGATGATTGCATGGTCGTCACCACATTCAAGAAGGAACTCTCTATCGAGTTAGAGCTTAGTTGCAAGCACCACAAATCCAAGTACCAGTACATCACCCTCGCGGAGTGCTTTGATAAAGCAAAAGAAATAGTTGTTTAGGATGAAGAGTACATATGAAATGAAAAACCATCCAAGTCTGGTCTCTCCCCAGTACCACGGTCGTCAAACAAGAAGGCGAATGAGCCTCGGTATAAGCGTAGCGGAGGTAAAAACGGGTACCCAAGGCACACGAACCGCATGGAACCATGCAGGGAGCCCCATAGGGATTCGTCCTCCTTCACTCTACTAAATTATTCCCTCAACAATGTCTTGAACAAGATTAAAGATAAACCCTTCTTCAAGAAACCAAGCCCAATGGTGAACCCAAACCCAAACTCCAAGGAGTATTGCAATTATCACAAAGCATGCGGCCACACGACGAGGAACTGCAGAAACCTCAAAGAGTTCATTGAGGATTTGCTCGATCGTGGTTATTGCTAGGAGTTTGTAGCCGAGAAGGCAAATGAAGGAAGATAAGGCAACGCCCAATGAGCGGCTCCAATAGACAAAAATGACGGAGATGAGAAACGTGTAAAAAGGTCCCCACTCCACACCAATTGCATTTATGAGGCCCAAGTATACATGAGGACTTAGCAAATTGAGCAAAAGATCGCCAGTAAGAAGCCAAAGATGGTGGCCTCCATTAATATGTAATTCCCCAGTCTCATGATCAACTTCGAGCAAGTGTGCACTCTGCATGATGATGCATTTGTCGTCACTTTGCAGACCGCTTATGCGAAGATGAGTTGCATTTTAGTTTATGGTGAAGCCGAAGTCAATATGGTTTTCAAGGATACCATGGAGCGCATGAGATTACTCAACGAGATGAGTTGCATTTTAGTTGATGGTGAAGCCGAAGTCAATATGGTTTTCAAGGATACCATGGAGCGCATGAGATTACTCAACGACATCACAAAGACTCGATCAATCCTGAAGGCATTCGAAAGAACATTTGTCCAAATATTAGGAACCCTTAAATTGTTGGTCGTCGTCGGTCCCTACAGTCCCATGATCAACTTGCATGTCGTCGGCGTTCTATCCCCACACAACGCAATCCTAAAGAGAAACTAAATACACATTATGAGGGTTGTCCCCTCAACCTACCATCAAGTAATTCGATATCCCATTCTGACCGGAATGAATTAAGGGAGACTAGGCCAGGGCTCGTTCCTGTGTTGCTTTAAAGTTTTAATCACATCCGCAAGCTTAATCGGACGAAGATGCCCACTCCAACCACCAACCTCGCATAGTAATCAAAATCTGGGGGTTTATTGAGAAACATCAAGGAATTAAGGTGGGTGAGATACTGAGTACATAATTCTCAGGATAGACTGGAGTGGAAGGCCAAGATCGAAGCCAAGCATGATGCAAGAGAAAGCTTTGTACAAGGGTTCTGTGAGATAATAGGGATGTCTTTGCCTATTCGGCAGACGATATGCCGGGGATTGATCCATAAGTAATATGTCACAAAGTACATGTAGACCCGAAGTTTAAACCAGTCATTCAAAAAAAGTGAAATTACGGTCTGCATCGAGGCAAATTTATCGAGACAGAAGTTGTCAAGCTTATCGTTGCGGATTTCGTAGTGAAGGTATATCATCTGGAATGGTTGGCCAATATGGTGCTAGTAAAAAAAAAATGAAAGATGGCGAGTCCGTGTAGACTTTAATGATTTGAATAGGGCTTGTCTGAAAGATAATTTCCCACTCCCACGGATTGACCAACTTGTCGATGCCACATCGGGCCACGAAAGGCTTAGCTTCTTAGATGCATACAGTGGTTACAACCATATTCACATAGACGAATCTGATATGGAAAATACCTTTTTGTAGTGGATAAAGACACCTACTATTACAAGGTAATGCCATTCGAATTGAAGAATGTCGAAGTTACTTATCAAGGCTGGTGAGTCAAGTTTTCAAAGAAAAAAATCAGGAATACTATGGAAGTTTAAGTTGACGACATGGTTGTGAAAAGTAAGAGGAAAGCTGACCACCTAGAAGATTTGGTGGAGTTATTCGACCTGCTTTAAGTATCAAATGAAGCTTAATCCGAAAAAATGCATTTTTGACGTCTAAAGCGGAAAGCTCTTGAGGTATCTAGTAACGTAGAGAAGGATCAAGGCCAACCCTGACCAAATAAAGGCAATCATCGATATGTAGTCCCCTAAGATAGTGAAGGAGATTCAAAGCCTTATAAGAAGAGTGGCATCACTCAACATATTTATCTCCAGGTTAACAGATAAGTGCAAATATTTTATGCTATAAAAATGAACATGGAGCTATTATGGGACGAGGAGTGTAAACAAGCATTCCTTAAACTTAAAGAATATTTGTCCTCACCTCTTCTTCTCTCAAAGCCTGTCCTTAGGGATGATTTATATTTATACTTGGTAGTATCTAAGGTTGTGGTAAGTGCAGCTCTAGTCTGAAAAGACCTTGAAGGGCCAAAAACCAGTATATTATGTGTCGAAGGCTATCTTTGGACTAGAAACAAGATACCCAAAAATGGAGAAGTTAATCCTGGCACTGGTCATGGCGATAAGAAAACTGAGGCTTTGCTTCAACGCATTTCGAATGATGATCATGAAGAAGTTCACATTTCGATTAATCCTACACGACCCCGACAGTTCTACCAGAGTCAACAAATGAGCCATTGAGTTGGGATAACACATACCAATGTAAAAACCAAAGACTGCCATCAAAGTCAAGCACTCATGGATTTCATCATTGAGTTGACTCTGGAGTCCACAGAAGTCCACATAAATAAAGGGCCCTACTCTGCAAGTCTATAAAAACCTAAACGAAGCATGAGCAGGACTGGTGATATTCACTTTAGATGGTTCCGTGATGAAGCAAGCATTGAAGCTAGGTTTCCGGGTTAGCTATTACGAGGCCAAATATAAGGCCCTACTAGCGGACTAAACGAGTTATTCATTTACCATGACTCCGTTCTGGTAGCAAATCAGGTCATGGGTGAATACACCACTCATAACCCGATCATAGCGTTATATCTGGAGAAAGCCAATGAGCTGTTGAACAAATTCACTAAGTATGACATTTATCAACTCCCATTCAATAAGAATTGCCATGCAGATGCACTGGCCAACTTGGGATTATCTGTTGACCATCGACTCTGATGCAGTACCCCTTCGAATATCTGGAGTCACCTAGCATTACAAAGCATGCCCAGAGCAGAGTGCAACGATTGATGAACGAGATAATTGGAAGGACAAAATACTGGCCTATATTAGGCACGGCACCCTCCCAGATGATCGCGAACTGGTAAGAAAGGTCATCCAGAAAGCATCCTGGCACGTTATCTTACAGGACAAACTATATCGTCGCTCTTATACAGTCCCTGACCTACTATGCGTCACTCTAGAGCAAGGACTGAACATCCTGATGGATATCCACGTTGAGGTTTGTGGCAATCATTTCATTCGATAAACATTAGCATAGAAAGCCTTCACAACCAAGTATTATTGACCCTCGATGGTCAGGGACTCGAGAGACTGTGCGTTAACATGTCAAAAGTGTCAAAGATTCATTCCAATGACTTATTAGCTGGCGGAATATATGAATCTGATGGCTAGTGTATGACCCTTCATGCAATGAGAACTCGACCTCATCAGACATTTCAAACGAGCCAAGGGCAATAAAGAATATCTAATGGTCATAATGGATTACTTCACCAAGTGGATTGAGGCGAAACCATTTTCCCAGATCACCAGAGCGCCCATAAAAGCCTTCGTATGAAAAGCATCATATGTAGGTTCGGCGTCCCTCACACCATCATCTTCGACAAGGGCTTCAATTCACAAGTTCCATTGTAACAGATATTTAGGAATTGGACATCCGCTATATCACCTTCATTCCTCAATATCTAAGGTAATGGGCAGGCCGAAACCTCTAACAAGACCGTTCTGAACTGCCTAAAGAAGAGGCTCGAAGTAAGGAAGAATGCATAGGCGGAAGAAATACTTGGAGTCCTCAGGGTTTACAGAGCACAACTCGAAATGCCATAGGCGAAACGCCATTCTCACTAGCTTTCGGAGTCAAGGCTATAATTCCCATCCAACAAAAATTACCAACCCTTCACACCGTGGAGTGGACTGAGATGAAAAATTCAAATATCATCAAGAGAGAATTGGATTTTCCCGAGGAACGAAGATGGATGGTTCAAAACATTATGTATGGATGGTATAAAACTGCCTAAACAAGAATTTCCATTAATGAAAGATGTAAATCCATTGGAAAATAAAAAAATATGCATGTCGGATTAAATGGTTGTTGTTATCTGCTACAATAACGACTCATTGGTTTAACCGAATAACTTAGATCTGCCTAGCTGCATACCAACAACAAGTACGATCGTACTATAACAAAGGAGTCAAACACTGAATATTACAAGTTGGAGACCTGGTTCTACGAGAAATGTTTCAAAACACATAGATCCTAAGCGAAGGGAAATTGGGCGGGAATTAGGAAAGTCCTTTCCAGATTGTCGGAAATGGGGCAAAGGAATCTATAACCATGCCACTCTAGACGGATCGCCCATACTAAAACGTTAGAACATCTCCAAGGTGAAACTACTTCTAAGAAGACCCTTTCTTTTGTATGAACTCGCTCCATTATGGTGTGCACTCAGGCTAGCTTGAAATAACAGCGTGCACACCGTGCCAACCCAAGAGCTTTTGTATTCGCAACTTAGCTATAGCAAGTCCGCAAGACGGTACACATCGTGATTATAAAAAATAAAAATAAAAAATAAAAAACTATCTAATATATATGTCAAAGTTTTTTTTTTTTTTTAAGAAAATGTCTTTAACTCACATACTCCTCTTAGGGCAAATGGACTAGATCCCAGGGTTTAAAGTTTCCTAAAGCTAGCAATCACCAACGGGGAGGAGTCGTTCACAACCTTGGTGGATGCAACAACCATACGAAACTCTCTATGGTGTTTGCCAGCTTGAGCGGCAAGGTTCGAAGACGGTGTAGGTAATGCCGAATCCCCACAACCCTATAAGTTAAAAAAATTTAGGGTGGACAAACCTAACGACCTCACGAAAGTTTAAGTTCAGTACAATATCGGTCGGAGTCTGACTCTTGATCGGGCCTCTTAAGTTTGAAACTCACCTAAAAAAGGAAATGTCCACTCCCAGCCATCGTGCAAACAAACGAATATTACAAAATTGGGACAAAAAGTCACAAGGGTGAGTCGTTGTGCCATCTAATAGGTGTAACTAAAAACCACTCTACCTAGCGAACGGAGATACGAGTCCAAATTATGATAATTCGACTTATCTAGTCGGAGCCAGCACATTCCCAAAATGAAACGCGAGTCTGAATTATTAAAATATGACTTGTCTAGTCGAAGCCAACTCATTTTGCAAACGAGACAGGAGTTCGAATTAGACAATTCGACTTATCTACTCAGAGCCAACATATTCCATAAATGGGACAGGAGTACGAACTAGGGCACTCCAAATAAAGGAGGCAGAAAGATTTGGATAAAATTCCACAAGATGAGAAACGCAAAATGGACATGGCGAAGTGAAACAAAGCTACAATACTTCAACAGAAAATCAACATAGTTCCAAAAGTCATAAGCAAAAGCCACGCCTCGACTTAACAAAAAAAAAAAAGCAATATTCACTCCACCAGCATGATTGAGCATTGACTCTGTCAAACCCACCTCACCTTCAACACTTACAACTTCTTCACCCCCCTCAACAACAGCAGTAGCCTCAACAACCTCGATAACCACATCATCATTAGCAACACCAACAGCTCCAACCAACTCAACTTTCTTTCTCTTGGATTTCGTGGCGGCCTTTCAAAGTTGTATGAAGTTGTATTTTCCTCAAAGGCGTGTGATCTTTCGGATCCGCTTATTCTCCTCCAGCAACTTCAGCAAGTCCAGACTCTACGACTGGCATTTTTGGCTCTAATTCCGCGCCACTTTCCACAACGCCACCTGACTTACACAAATTATGACACACCTTGATCCCAATATTCCTCGAATACTAGGATAAGCAAGTGCTGGCCGACACCCATGGATGACGAAAGCTATTTATTGAGTGCAAAAGCTGAAAACAAGGGATAGATATTGAGTGCAAAAGCTGAAAACAAGGGATAGATAAGACTTATAAATATAAAAGAATAATAAATATGCTAACTAGAACACTAAAAGAAATAATATAAAACTGAATGAAACAAAGGATGAATCCTACCCCGAGAGGACTCGAAGATGTCAATGCGAAAGTGCCTGAACGTCGGGATTTTATGCCTCGATTCTACACCCTGAAGAGGGCGCAAAACAAACATGAGTGGACCAAGTTGATATATATATACTAAAACATTTATCAACGTACTAAACCCCATGTTTTAAGAAAACACATATATATCATGATAAACATAGGTTTTCTGAAACCTAGCATGTCGTGTAATGTCTCAAATCATAACTTGTATATATAATAATCACTAGTGAATGTCTGATAACTCTCCAGGCCCTATGCTGGCTCCTCGTCTCTGAGCAAATAGTCAAAGGAAAATTACCCCAGGCCCCATGCCGGCTCCCCGTCCCTATACTAATAGCTAGAGGAAAAACACTTCAAGCCCTATGCCAACACCATAACTGTCGCCGGGACGGACTGGAATCTATCCCTTCGTCCCGTAGCGGAATAGGGACCACTAGGTAAATACATACCATTGAACATTTATATTGAAAAACAACTTCATAGTATAAAGTCATTCATCATCTATACTATAAAGAGGTGTTCTAAACATGTTCTAAATATCATATCACCATCCATCACATATTCTATAAGAACACGGGTTATAGGAAAAATAGTAATAATTCAAAATAGTCTCAGTAAACATGTTATCACAAAGCGTTTCATAGAACATAATTGCTAAATCATTTTTTTCCATGTATGCATTTCTACTATTAAAACATGCATTTTAGAAGGAAACGCCACAATAATTGCCCCTAAACACATAAAGGGTCCAATAAAACTATACTATAACAATTGAATTTGGGAATACGGACGTCGGAAACGGATTTAGGACGTCGAATTACCTTAAGAATGATCCCGGTTAAATTTCATAAAAGTTAATAGAATATTCCCTGACGGAATATTCCCTAATGAAATATTCCCTAACAGAATATTCCCCATAAAGGGTTAGGGCAGGTTAGGGTTTAGGGTTTTGACCTCACAGGGCTTTGGGGTTTAATAATTAAAAATGGTATGGGTTTAAAAGGTTTCTAATGGGTTTGGGCTTGAAAGCATGGCCCACATTACTTTGAATTTCAAAAAACAAATAGAATAATTAAATGGGTTGGGTTTTGTTTTATGGCCCGTTACTTGCCAGGGAAGAAGGTCGGATTTCAACCGGAAAATTAGACAAACTTTAAATGTTTATAACTTTGTAAATACTCAACGAAATCGAGTGATTTAAAAAACGAAAATCATAGTTCTTGACGAGACAGAGAGAATGGTACATCACACGACTCCTAACTTGCCGTGGTTTGGCCGAAAAATGCCTTGAAAGCCACGGAGGTCGCCATAAACTGGGTAAGATTCAAATGGATATAAGTTCTTCAATACTCGATGAAATTGGATGATTCAAAAAGGAAAGTTGTAGTACTCAGCAAGACGAAGAGATTGATACCTTGCATGCCAGCCAACTGGTAGTGGTTTGGCCAAAAATTGCCTCGAAAGGGGCTGTGCTCCTCACCGGAAAACATGGAGAAACTTTACCTAGGTAGTTTCTTCGTGGTTTGACATCTAAAACGTACACAAAAGTTTAGTCAACAACTAGAGACGAGGGGAGGATTAATTCAAAGGTCTAAAACCTTACTCTCACGCCAGGGAATCGATAACCGGTGTCGAACAAGGCGGCTCAATCGCGGTGGTGCAGTTGCAGAGTTAAGAGATTAAAGTGAGAGTCTAAGAGGGATGAGGGACATCTCACAGCTGAGGGTGGCATCTGTTGGTCGACTCCAAAGCACCATCTCGATGTGCTAGCTATGGAAGAAAGGAGAAAAAAAACTTGCGAGGGGGAGAAAATTGAGATAGAAAAAGAGAAAGAGAGCTAATCGTGGTGGTGATGGTTGCTCTGTGTGTGTGTGTGTTTTTTTTTTCTTTTCAGGGAAAAGGGAAGAAGATAGTTGCAGGGAGAAGAGATAAGGGAGTGGGGGAGAAGAGAGTTGAGAATTGAAAGTAAGAGAGAGAGAAGAGGTTGACTCGGGGGAGAACAGTAAGGAGAGAGACCGGGGACACAAAAGCAAGGTGGGCCCCCTAGGCACACCTATTAAGGCCCTAAAAACAAATTTTTAAATAAAGTAACAATCTACCCCCTTTAAAAGAATTTCGTCTTTGAAATTTAAAATCACTTACTAAGCTGAAATACTCGAAATTAGTAAAAACAATATATGTATAAAGAGAAATCAAGTCAGAGTGGGTGCATCAAAGAGAATATGCCACACCGTCGCGAACGGGTTGGAAAATCCTCTATCATGCCTCCAAGCTCTTACGTTCTTCCCCATCAGTGTAAAAGTGGAAACATACTTTAATACTTATAAGGTTGAAAACATAAATTGACATAAGGTCAAAAATAAGTACGCAAAATACTATAGCATTAAAAATAGATACGTACTAATATATAGGTCGAAAATTCATGCTGAACTTAAAACTAAAAATGGAAATACTTCCCCCAAAACATTTGTAACGTCAAAAACAAATAACTAAAGTAAAGGAAGTTAAAATACTTATACTAAAAACCACAATTGGAAAATGAGAGTGGGTCTCGCTTAAGCACATGAAACGTCACGTACTTTGAGAGAAGTTATCTTTGGGTCGAGCCCCAATAATCGCAAATCCGTGACAACTGTCGTAGACGAGTCTTGCTACCCACTTGCTTAACGAACCCAACGAATAAGTTACTGATACAACAGTCGGTCGCCCGCAATATCGATCAAACATTTGTTGTCTCGGTAAACAAGCAGTAATTTCCTGATGGTGCACAATTTCACACGTCATAAATTCGATCCTCCGAATACCGGTAACCAATACTCCCCTGCCAACCAGTGTGTCCGTAGAAACTTTCGCAACATGTCGCAAAAAGTGCCATACCTCAAACCGAACAAAACAGAAATTGTCGTCGTAAAACTTTATCCAGCACCAAGCATCATATTCTCTTCAGTTCTTCCAAATATGACCAACTACTATAGTGTTTTGCCAACAAAGAACCCATTTGAAAACCGTACCTTGGGATTCAAGAGTAGTGATTACCATGTTAGTAGTAGACCCAAAAGCTCAAACCAAGTAAGCAGAAAATGAGAAGTCATCTTCCTCAACAAGCAGTATCTTTAGAAAGTTGTTGTAGTGCTCAAACCACCTCTCCATTTTTGCTTAGTTGTAGACTTCTAGTTAAATAAGATCAAAGTTGGTGGAAAGAAGAAGAACTCGCAAGTGATCAACCTAAAAACCCAAGAGAACACACACCTTTCGAGATAAGTGTAAAGATTAACCAATTCTCGCCTCAACCGTGCTGTAACGCTATCCCAGAATGCACCAAACAGATCTACTATAAGTGTTTCGACAACTACGTACTCACAAACAAAAGAGTCTTGGAGTGAAGCAATGAAAAGATGCGTTGAGACGAACACATAATGTTGGAAAAGAATAGATGTGATGCCTATGAATTATAGTAAGATGGTGATACAATCTGCTGACATTCTGTACTAAAACCTTCATCCAACTCTTATTAAAAGACCACTCAAACCTCATGCCCACGTGCTCACAAACCGAAGGATCCTGGTGTGAGGTAGTGGAAAGCTGGGTTGAGGCGAACACACCACATCATTGAAAAGGTCTACCAGAGTACGATATGATGGTTATGAATTGTAGCAAGATAATGAGTGGTGACCATTCAATTCAGCGTGAAGATAGTGATGCAATCAGCTGATCACTTGCACTACAATCTTCAGCGTGAAGATGGTTGCTCTGTGTGTGTGTGTGTGTTTTTCGGGGAAAAGGGAAGGAGAGAGTTATAGGAAGTCCAGAGATAAGGGATAGTGAGGGAGAAGAGAAAGTTAAGAATTGAAAGTGAAAGAAATAGAAGAGGTTGACTCGGGGGAGAACAAAGATGAGAGAAATTGGGGACACAAAAGCAAGGTGGGCCCTCTGGGCACACCTATTTAAGGCCCTAAAAACAATTTTTTAAATAAAAACCCAAAACTACCTTTAAAATCGAAAATTAACTTTCTCTTGAACTATCCAAGAAGGTGCAACAGTTTTCATCTTCATGGCCCACGACGTCGACTAATCATCCCAGTCTGGATGGGTGATCTAGGACCAATCCCAATGATGTTAACGGATTGGATAATTTCGCGGTGACGTCGGCCTACATTCAGCCTAGTGAGGAAGATAGCAGACTTGCCATACTTGGGATTTCACGCTTGGTATTTGGTAAGTTTCATTGACTACTCGTCTTGCATGTCTATTGCAGAGTATGTTCAATTTATTCCTTTCACTTTCTATTTTGCAGGCACATTTGTGTAATGAGGTTAAAGGGATAAACTATCGGCAGAACATCCGTAGGTTGGAGGTGATGCTGGAAAAATTGAAAAAGGAAATGGTGGCATATGAAGCTAAGTGCGAGCACTTCGCTAAGAGGTTGGCGGATGAGGCGACTCGTGTCGAATCGCTAGATTTGTGCCTTCGCGTAGAGTGTCATCAGACTCATTAAGCCAAATCCTCATTTGAGGACACATTTTCCCAACTCCGCTACCGTAGGGATGAGGCGGAGTAAGAGACAATTCGGGTTCATGCAGAGTTGAACTCAACTAAAGTGGTCGCAACCATGGTCTGAAATGTCAATATTATTGGCGATATTTCGCCGATAATATCGTTTTTGTGAGAGAGCGATATTTCACACTTATCCACTGAATTATCGTTAAAATATCGTGATATTATCAATATTATTGATAATATCGCGATATTTTAGGCTTGGTACGAATCGGAGAAGAACACCGGAGCTTCTACAGCTCCGGCCGACTGTAAAAGAGCACCCTAGACTCCGATCTAGGTATCAAAATGAAACATAAGATGAGAGGAATGTTTTTATAACTTTCGTTTGCTGTGAAACGATCAGAGGTGTTCGAAAAGTTCATTGACACTCACAGCCTCGTCGGAGCTGGGTGTGCTTTCCCCCGGGTCGATCTCATTCTAAAACCTTGTTAAAAAAATGAGATAAAACTTATTATATCTCAACCACACAACATCCAAGATGAATTG